GCATGTACTCCAAGCTTTCTACGGTTTTTTTTTTAGTTTCTTGACAAGTTGGGGCATATGTTCTATTCTGGTCATTTCTTAATTAAGGGTTAATATGCGCGTACAATTGTAGTAAACTTGTTAATGTATTCATCTCATTAATGCATAGTTATAACTATTTACTATGGGGTTTGGTGCCGTACAGTGTAGCTGCAACCGTACGCACATATTCTCAGTAGTCAAGAGAGATTGACTCATGGTATTGTTGGAAATATGATCGCGAATTGTAGATAGTGACGTGGTTCTATCTACTGTACTATAAAAATAAAAATGTCTATCTCACTGTTGACCATCGAAGTTGTATGAATGAGCAGCCCGTAGGATATTAATTGTTTTAATGATGTTCAGCTTCAGTGTTGTTTTAACAATAATGTATCTTAACTGTATTTTTGCTGTATATTGTTCTAGTTGTTGTTGTTTATTTGTGTTAAGTGCACATAGATGCAGGAGGTTTTGTGATTGGCTAGAGAATGATTGTTTCTTTGTAAAGGACTGGTCGTTACCCCAACTGCAATCCAATTCGATTATTTACTAGAAAATCGACTTTGTGGGCGCACAATATCTCGCCTGTGCTGCGTCACGTTGCAGCTTGTCCTACGGGCATGTCGATTTAATCTAGGTTCATCATCCTATCCAATGACCATAGGCGTTATGTCCTGTCTAAATGTGAATATGATTAGTAATATTAACTCTCATTAATAAGGTGGGGGGTAATGTGCGCAAAAAGGATGTTGTGCGAAGTACAATAGCTAGCGTATTATGGATTATATACAGCTCTGAGTCGTATTTAACGACGATCGATACAAAGAGAAAGTAATAAGAAATAATAGAAAATATCTATTTCGCGATTGAGACAATACATTGATAACGTAGTGTAGTCAGTTCTATTGTTTGTTTTAAAATTGTGTCTTTAGCGATTCAGAGCTAGTAATGTAACAGGACCAGATAGAAGATAGTCTCTCACGCTCCATGCCCTAGTGCCTCTCCCCCGTCTCCCTCCCCTCACATACAATTTACTAGAATTTTCCAATATATATGACAGGATGACTGACGTAAGTAATCATCAGTGTGTGTGGTGTTATAGTAAATAGAAGCAGATACATAGATTCTGCAGTGCCTGATACAGTATAAATTGCCTGAATGACGCTAACCAAATTTATACGTTTAGTGTGAATAGCACCTCACGACGACTAAATAATGTTCGATCTAGGAAGTAGTTGACAATACTACACTTTATCTTTCAGCGAGTTTGTTGTCTACGTTGCTGATTGAAAGTATATTAGTACTAGCTAGGATGGCACTGTCTAATATAATAAATGAAGGTGAGACTAGCGCTTAGTTGCTGCTTTAGACAATAAAAGAGAAAAAGAAGTCCACAAATAAAGATACTTACTTACGACCCTGGCTCTCCAACCAAAACAAGAGTGGCCGTTCGCAAATATTTCGGTTTGTTTCCTTATCTCCAGCCCAATAATTGCTCAGTCCCTACTTTCAGTCCTTTATAAACTATTATATATTGTTACAAGTGACACACAATGTGGTAGTGACACCCAAATTAAATCGTTATATTTTTAAAAAATACCTAAATATACAGGACGTTCCATTTAAAAAACACAACTTTGGTTAATTCTGTTGTTTTGACTGACCCTGTATAGTCGAAAATAATTTTAAATTATTTACGTCTTTGACATACATCAACTTTATTTAAAACACCGTGTTTACAAAAAATGTTAGCAGACATAAATGTCTGCAAATATTGACAACACTGAATCCCTTAACTTCCTTTGAATTGCCGCTAATGTTTTGTATTGATTACGCCGAACACAAAACTATGATTGTTTTTTATTTTTTAGTGTGTAATTTTAGGTCACACGTCGTATCTATCTGATCGTTAAAAATAACTTTCTAAAATGATGTTTCTGCCAATTAAAATAGACAATTCGACTGAAATTTAATAATTACGTCTGACAAGAAAGATTAAAAATAAAACAAAAACAGGTAACACGATGTTTTTAGTCGGCTAAAAAGATATCAATCATTTAAAAAATGCCGTAATCATCGTCACGTGTAGGAGTGCAATCGTGATCAATAAAACTATTAATACTGCCGGTGATGGAGTGTTCAAAGAATGTATTTGATGTAATATTAATGCAAATATTAGGGATATCTACCACAAATGTGATTTTACCTTGATAATGTTCTCAGTATATTATCTTTCTTTTCAAAATATAAAGCAAATTATGTAATAAAAGGTCATGATAGACTATATTCTATCGAATAGAGAGTTACAGCCCTCTCAAATCTTGGATGTAAAAGCACTAACATCAATAGAAGTAGGAAGCTAAAATAAATTGGTATTATATGAAAAATCCGAATGAAAACACATGTATATGATAACAAAACACCAGAATACACCACCAAGATAAAAGTCGAAAGCTTAAACAGACCATTCAGCCCAACGCAAAGATCCCTAGCTCGCAAATATTTAATAGAAAATAAACTGCAGGAAATTGCACGAAAATTACCCCTGTTAAAATACACGATTCTTCATCATTATCTACTTTTTGTTAGGGCAAATAATTTTCCTTTCTGTATATATACAGGGTGAGTCATGAGGAACTTTACATACTTCTACCATATGTAGAGTCCCTCAGGGAGCATATCATGTGGCCACTAAAAAATGTCAACTCCTCTTCTTTATTAATTAACAGGGTGATTTGTGTAATTGACCATTTATTTCATTTTACTGTAGTGTTTATACGGCTCATTTGATTTTTTTAATTTTTGCATGATACAGTACACTACTATCAAGCATTCGACTGGTATTAGCTAAACTAAAAAATTCCAGGACTGGCTTTGGAAAAATTAATTTAGGGATTTGTATTAAATATTACACCCTGTATATATATTTTTTAAAATGCAATAAGTGATTTTCAAACTACATAAATAGCCAATGAAAACGACATATGCGACAATGTTGTCGCACTTTTATTAAATTTTTAGTGAACGATCAAATCTTACCAAAAATAGAACAACCATAATGAAGTATCAAATTATAAGGTAATTAATTTAAACAAATGTTATAAATTTCAAACATTTTAATTGAAATGATAAACTGAGTCACTGCACAACAAAAAACAGTGACTACTAACAATAACGAAGAACAATTAAAAAAAAAACTAAAAATATGTACATAGTTATGATAAACCCATAAATTAGAACTGGAAAAGATACAATAATGGTAACAAAATAAAAATAATTCAAAATAGATTTTCGAAATGGAACCCTGCAGCCTGTACACATTTTTGTTGCCGAATTGTTAATTGACGTATTGAATTACGGATACTCTGGGGATCGTTTCTAATAGTATTACAACAATGTATAATTCTATCAATTAATTGTTGTCGGTTATTAATATTCACTGCGTAAACTAGTTGCTTCAATCGTCCCCAAATATGGTAATCAACGGGATTGAAATCAGGGGATCTTGAAAGCCACGAAATAGGACCGACACGTCCTATCCACCTGTTGCCATAAACATTATTGAGATGTTGTCTCACTGCCAGTAAAAAGTGTGGGGGTGTCCCATCATGCTGAAAATACATCCCTCGGATAGCAACGTTCGCGTTGGCAAGCAAATTCGGCAAAATATTTTGTAGAAAGTTCAAATAGACCTGCCCTGTTAAAGAACCATGAAAAAAGTGAGGACCTACTAATTGGTTATTTATGACACCAATCCACACGTTAACCGAAAACCTTAACTGAGAACGACGTTCTCGAATAGCATGGGGATTTTCTTCTGCCCACACATGTGAATTTCGTGAATTATTTATCCCGTCTCTGGTAAATTGGGCTTCATCTGTAAGCTTCATCTGTAAGCATTTCCGAAGTGGAAGTCCAAACGTCAAAGCGTTAAGTCACTACAAGGCGTTGTTCAGTACTGACACTTTCACGCATGACGGTATCTTTTTTGGAAATGAGTAGACCAACTGTTTTCTTCGCCAAGTTCATCAATGACATTGAGCAATTTCGTGTCACAATAGTTCACACGATCAACAAATAATTTCTTCATCCAACATTTTTTCTTCTTTTTTTCAAATGATAAGGATAACAAGCACAATGCTGCCATTTTCCTCCTCCTAATTATATTTTGCATAGTGTCTACTCGATACATTTTTTGGTTAAGCGATGTCGTAAAAACAAACTAAAACTGAAGTTGGAGCGCTAGTTTTGGATAGCAAGTCGGAGCGTGAGTGGAGACGAATATCCAACTAGTAGTCCCATTAAGTGGGACCGCAAGTGGGAACGTGAATGCCCAGCTTTACAGGATGACTCCACAAGATACCTATTCCAAAAAAGAATAACCGAAAAAAGCAGAAACACATATATCACAGAAAGTGATGAAGTGGAAGAAAGATGGGCAAAAATTAAGTATAATATCTTAGCCTTGGCGAAGGAAGTTTTTGGTGAAAGAAATATAAATAAAAATAAATCGTTCCCAAGGCGAAGAACTCCATGGTTTTGTATAGAAGTGAAGGAAAAATGTAAAGAAAAGAAAAAAGCTTACCTGAAATTACAAGATAATTAGAAACGAAACACATGAACTTGTTAGAAAAATAAAAAATGATCACTGACAACGCTTTTCGAAAGAAATGAAACATGATTTTTACGGTCTGCAAAAGGAAATATGGAGCTCCATAAGAGGTCAAATATGTGGATTGACTACCTAAAAAAGCTCTATGCAGAGGAAGAACAAACAACGCTAGAACCGAAAACTCCAGAAATTAACACAAATGAAGAACTTAGCATAAATGTACAGGAACCAGATGACTGTGAACTATTCATGCTAAGTAAGAATACGATCGTTGTTAAAACGAGCCATGAGGTACACCATTACCCGAAACCTTGTGTTTTTGATACTCCGAGCATTTAAAAACCTGAATAATAGAAAAAACACTTACCTTAAAACAAGAAGCTCTATATAACAATTGCACAACGTGTCCTATACTGGTTTTGGAAGCCTGCGGAAAATGCGGCTCTAGCCGTTGTACGACGAACATCACCAAAACCTTCCTAGATAACGCTGAGCCATCTTCCAATGCTAAAAGTACGAGTTTTAGCACTTCTTCTTGCATGGCTGAAAACATAAAACGTCAGTTTAGATGTTCTATCTAAAATACCCCAGTTTGTTTCGTTTTCACAGAGGCATAATAAAATAAAATTATTTTGTGTTGTATGTTGTGAGCTTTCGACATCCTCTTTGATGTCTTCTTCAGAGCTTCCGAGGTCTCAGTGTTGCGAATCTCCAGACACTACTACACTGATCACTAACCAATAAATTACTACTAGTGACCTCTGAAGCCTTGAAGAAGACATCAAATGATAATCCACGCGGTTCAACCCGGAAGATTGTTGAGTTTAATTAATATTAATTCTTGTAATAGGATAAATCTTAGCTTATAGGTTTTATTGTACTAACCACGGAAATCTTTCGGGGCATAGCACAATAAATGGTGAATATAGGCAGATATATTAAAATAAATGTATGACTGATATACAAGATATACGTTTGTTAAACCACAACTCTTCGGAGTAGGCATTAAAAAGAATTGGCGACAATACGCATCCCTGTCTCACTCCACATCTAATTTCAATTTCTTCTGACAGCTGTTTGTTAACACGTACTTGTGCTCACTGTTTATAGTATAAATTTGATATGAACCTGAGGTCGTTGTAGTCAATCTTCTTTGATTTCAGGACATTCATTAATTTCTTATGTCGTACTTTATCGAATGCTTTATTATAGTCAATAAAACACGCGTATATATCTTGATTGACGTCCAGGCATCTTTGTATCAGTATATTAAGTGAAAAAAGAGCTTCACGCGTTCCCAGGCCTTTGCGAAAACCAAATTGTGTACCATTAACGTCTATGTCCAGTTTCTGATATATTCGGTTATGGATGACTTTTAGTAGTAACTTTAACACATGCGACATTAAGCTAATGGTGCGGTAATCGCCGCACTCTCTTGCGTTTCTTTTTTTGGAGAGACAAATAAAAATCGACGTTAACCACTCTTTGGGTAATACAAATAACACAAATAACACCAAAACACTCTTTGATAAAGTCAGACAACTCACACGTAAATTCAAGCAGAAATCTTGGTCTATCAAAGATGATGAAGGTAATGTACAGACGGATTTGGACAAGGTTATTGATGTTTGGAGGGCCTATTGTAAGTCTTTATACGCCAATACGGACCAGATGCCAGCGGACGCCCCGTTTGTACCTGACTGACCTCCACTTTCATTCTCCTTCAACAGAGACACACCACACTAGTTTTGAGTCTGAACCTGACATACTTTTTTCCGAGGTGGAATTCGCTTTAAAAAGACTTAAGTTAAACAAAGCAGCAGGATATGATCTCATTACTGCAGACGTCTTGAAGCATCTTCCGGAATGTGGAGTGAAAATATTACATCGATTGTGCAATGAAATATGGCACACAGGCGTCTGGCTGCGGATTGGAGAAAGACCATAATCATACCTCTTCATAAGAAAGGTTCAACAAATAATTGTAACAACTACAGGCTATTAGCTCTAATATCACACGCCAGTAAGGTGATCCTCTACATACTGCAACGGCGTCTAGAAAACTTCATAAGTTGGCAAATAGCACCTGAGCAGGCTGGATTTGTAAAGGGCAGAGGTACTAGAGAACAAATCCTTAATGTACGAAACATCATAGAAAAAGCCAGAGAATACCAGATCCCGATATTTATATGTTTCGTCGATTATACAAAGGCCTTTGATAATGTTAGATGGGACAAACTATGGAACATATTGACGACAATGGGTGTACCTAAACACTTGACTCACCTTATTAGCAAACTGTATCAAGATAACCTGGCATATATTCGAATGGACGGATATCTGTCTGACAAATGCACTTTGGAGAAGGGAGTACGCCAAGGATGCGTTTTATCTCCCTTATTATTTAACATCTATTCGGAGTTCATAATGCGCAGAGTTTTGGATGGTTGGGAGGGAGGAGTAAACCTAGGTGGTGTTAAGATACCTAACTTGCGTTTCGCAGACGACACTACACTTCTAGCCTCTACTCCAGAAGAAATTACTAAATTATTAAAAAAACTCGAGGTAGAAAGTGCTAAATTTGGACTCATGGTTAACTACAAAAAAACCAAAATCATGAAAACAAAAACTATTGCGGGATGCGAGGTAGTCTCATCTATGATATATCTTGGAGCTCTAGTTAACAACACAGGCAGTTGTGAATCCGAAATTAGAAGACGCATTCAACTAGCAAGAGCAGCAATGAGTGAACTAAACGGGGTCTGGCGTGATCGTCACATTACTATGACAAACAAAAAGAGATTAGTTTCAACTCTGGTCTTTTCCATATTTTACTATGCATGCGAGACATGGACAGTCAAAGAATCAGATCGACGACGTATAGACGCCTTTGAAATGTGGACATGGAGACGCCTGCTTCGAATTCCATGGACGGCTCGCCGTACAAATATCTCGGTTCTGGATGAAATTAAAGCGGATCAGCGTCTCTCCAGTACCGTTTACTCTAGAATTTTAAAGTTCTTTGGCCATATCCATCGAAGTGATCACAAAATGGAGCGGTTGGTGGTCCAAGGAAGGCCTCAGACTCAACGCCAACGCGGAAGATCTCCACAGCGATGGGCGGACATTACTAAAAAGCTTCTCAATAAACAGTATATTGAGGCAATACATATAACTGATGACCGCGACCAGTGGAGAAATATTATCAATCAAACTGTCCGAGCTGCTCAATTATGAAACACAACACATCTACTAAGATGTTAATGACTGTGATGATGATGATAAATTTGGTTCAAGAGTGTTACTAAAACATCAATGCTTCTTATCTAGAATTTTTAGGCTTTATATAGGAAGTATGTCAGGTCCTGGGCTTTTCCCACTCTTCATTTTAAATACTACTAGTAAATGAATTTGTATCATTTGGGTACGAGTATGTTATTCCAGTCTCTATTACAATTAATGTAACATGCTAGATTTATCGTTAAATTTAATTTCAATTTCTTAAAAACATTTCGAATTCTGCCCGAATTATTTTTTACAATAGACACATCCTTTTATGGAAGAAGTAGACACTCCCCATTCTGTGTCGATATAAATTCTCCAAAAATTTCATTTTGAGTTCAGTTTTTTTCGAGTTAGATTTTTAGATTCTTTTTGTTGTGATAATGAATTTTGGATTTTCCTCTTATAGGAAGAACGTAGTTAGGTTAGGAGTGAATGCCCATGTACTGTGTAAGTTGTCCTGTAGGATTAAGTTGCCTCAATGTTTTTGGGATCTCACCTGCTATCGGTGAATTTTGAATTTGGAGAATTGGGTGGTTTTGTCTGGTGAACATTTTGATGGTTTGAACAAATAATTCCTGCATTGGGGAAGTTTGATATGGTGTCACTGCGATCTACGTGTCATAGGTTTGGAATATGATTATATTAAGTATAAGGATTTCTACCTAATCCATCCATACCTATCATCCATTGCACCAGAATTCATTAATCGATATCATTCATATATAGTGTTCACGTGTATTTGATAACACGCCTGTAAGAAAACTGTTCTTGAAGAAGAAAACTGAACACGCTCTTCAAAGCAAACTCAACCAGTTATCAGTATGAAGTAAGAAGTGGGACTTTTAAGGACTTTGTAGGATCAGAATCTAATAAAATCGGTTAAATTATTAATCTTGGTATGTTGGTAAAACATACATTAAGCAGGTCTTCTAAAACTGCTAAATCAGTTGGCAAATTAAATTCTGATCTATAATTTTCAGGGTTTGGAAGGGAAAATGTTTAAGCTGTGTTAGTTTTATTTCTAAGATCGTTTATTATGAACCAAGTTTCTTTTGCAGCACTTTTAGAGCTTCCCAGACGATTCCCATAGTACATTTTTTTAGCTGTTTTGATAAGTTTTAGATAGGTTCCTCTGTACTTGGAGATATATTTAGTGACAAAGACATTAGTAGTAAATTTCTTGATGTACAGTAGTGAACGCATATTATTGGCTGATATGCCGATACCTTGATGATACAACTTTTGTAAATTTTGTATTTTAAAAAGTTTGGATCTGATTATTTATAGTAGAGTTTTATAATTTTTTCCCTTTTTCTGGTGTATACGAAAAATATCACTGTTAGTATTTTATATATATTAGTATTAAGTATTGATTTTGTAATCTAACCGCATAAGCTATACTTCGGCTCAATAATAATGTTTAATAATAATAATAAATCAATAGTTTGCTCATATTGTATATAGCAATAATAAATAGGGACATCATCAAGTTTTTCAAATATTTAATGAAGATTGGCAACGTTGCTTTAATTGACGTATTCCAATAAAGTTAAAATAACAAGCAACAATATTAGTAAAATAAATAATTTTTATAATTTAAGATCAAATCGAAACTAACTAACATTTACAGATAGTTTTACAGTTTATTGTATTTCCTCAAGGACGATTCATTATTTAACCTAATGGTATAAATGATAATTTTATATTGTAATTATATACGATAGTTTCCTTGATAGAGTAAGTTGGATGTTTAATTGCACACTTATTAGACGTGTAGTCAATGTCAAATAACTGGTCTGGATGATACAAAAACCTTGTGTCATTGTACAAGTATTTCCGCTAAATCTAAGTTAAATAATTACATATTTTATAGAAGATAAATAAGAATTAGTACTATTACAAGAAATCGCAAAAAAGTGCGTAGAAAAAAGATTGTTAAAATTGCCACCATCTATTTATCGTCCGTCGGCTAGTTCAAACAAATACCACCTTTAGTTCAGACAAACTAAGATATTTTTTAACCACCAAAACTGAGATGTTTTAACCAAATAATGCTTCAAATATAATGTGAAGGATAATTTTGAATTCATAAGTAATGAACTTGCTTTTTTTGTCCTTAAAAGAAGAGAAAAATAGGTATTTTCGTCTAAAAATTTTAACTGTACTAATATGCAAGTAATTACTTTAAATTCTAAAATGACTAATTACACTGAGTAATCTTCTTCTTTTGGCATCATAACCCTGCATGGGTCTTTGCT